TAAAACCCCCCAAATTACTATCCAAAATATACAGAATCCTTTCTAAAACAGATGAATAAATATCACTTCCCACCACATCAGATCAATTGCTCTGGGCTCCTTTGATCAGCTCCCTCACCTAGTGGGGGTGGGGGCTCATAGTTTGCTCCCGCCTTCACTGTTGTGATTGGTGTGGGGGTAGGGACAGGCTTAGGGCGTCGGGGGGTTCCTCGGAGGCATCTTCCTTGGGGGGCTCAACCTGGGGTAGCGATCATGGCCAATTAGGGGCTCTGTTGGCTCTTAGGTGACGGTTTCCTCGTGGCTGCGTGCAGCGGGGCTAGGAGAGGGTCTGTGCTGGCTGACGGACGTGGGTTACTGACCTGGTAGCCTGGCTGCCCCTGGGTGGGTCCGGGATGGGCGTGAGGTTCTGGGGGCGCTCGTTCTCTGGGCTGGGGCCCTGGCCTGGCCTCGGGGGCTTGGGTCCTGGTTGGTGTGTTGCCGGGGTTGTTGGCGGGTGCGTGCATGGGGGGGCAGCCATGGCGCAGGGTGCTGCCGGTGCATCGAGCCACCTGGGGGGCTCTTCAACTGGTGGGGGAGATTGCCACATCTTGCAGGAGCTTTCCTCTCTTCAGGAACTCTCTCTGCAGGAGGGGGAGATACAGGAGAGGTGGAGGAAGATCTCAGCCTGGGCATCTATTGTCTTATGTAGTCTGGAAGATGAGTGAATGATGGGGTGGGTGCAGTTTTCTCTGTGGTGGGGTTGGGTGGACTGTCCCGGGCTCTGTGGGGCCGGGCGGTGCTGCTGCACTGGGCCCCTGTCTGGATGGGCCCGGGCCCCCTTTCCCTGGCGGGTCACGGAGTATGGGGGTGCCTACTGGGGCGAGCGGGGGAGCTGGCCCCAGTAGGCGGTCTGCCTCTCCCCACCGCACCCACTGCGGTGGGGAGAGGCAGCGGTGGGGCGAGGCACCCCACCCACCTGGGTCTGGGTGCAGTTCCCCCCTCCAGGGGCAAGGGTACCTAGACCCGGTTCGTAGAGTACGCTTGGGGAGTGTGATCGTGTGTACAGCATCTCTTTATGTTTGTCTCCACGTTGGTTGAGTGTGGAGTAAGTGCATATGAGAGCATGAGGGTGGGAATGGATGTTTGTGTCTGTGTGTGCCTGTATGTCTGTGTCTATATGTCAGGTTGGGTATCAGATGCCACCTCTCTGGGGACATCTCAGGCCCTCCAAGGTTTGGAGGCCTATCTCCCCCCACCACCACTTCCCCTGCCGGTGGCGGACTCCCTCAGACATCGGTGCGTTGGTGGTTCTTTGTGTCTGGTGATGGGCGTCCGGGTACACACCGGCTCATTCCTTGGCGGCCGCTTATCGGGGCCTGGAGCCTGGGGCTCGCTCGGGCCACTTCGGAGGTGGGGTGCCCCGGCCTCTTGGCCTGGGGCTCGGTCACTCAGGCACAGCTGGCAGCCGGCGGAGCTCACGGGCGCATCACTGCAACCCCCCCTGGCTTCTGCTCCGAGGCTGCTGAGTGACCCCTCATCTGGGACTCTCCTCAGCTCTTTCTGGGACAGTGGCGCGGCTGCCCCTCTGTTGGTCTTCCTTGGTCTCTTGTCTTGGTCTGGAGTTTTGATCTCCTCCATACCTGCTTCATGCCCTGGAGGACGGGGCAGTGGCTCCCCACACCCTCTAGCAGATCATTACATGAAGGAACCGTTTAAAAAAAACAAGCGCGTCCATGCTTACAGGTGTACACACGGGTGATCACACCCACAAACTACATCCTTTTTGGCTCCTACCTCAAAGCCCACTGTGTTCTGTTGATCTTATGTGCTGCACAATAATGTTTAATATTTAGTATTTACTGTCATATTCCCATATATCATTGTGATGTTGTTTATTCTATTACTCTTGTTTTCCTCTGCTTGTTTTTTTTTTCTTTCTCAACAGGTCAGGGCCGTGCAGAGAGGTTTAAAGGGGCGGGTGCTCAAAGTTAAAAAGGGGCACATTGAACCAGGCTGAATAACAACAACACACATTCATCAAGAATCTAATATGGGAAGGGCAGGGCTGTGTTGATCTGAGACTGTAGACATTAAAAAGTCCATAGGAGAGATGGTAGCTGATTAAACAAGTGTCATGAGATAATAACAAAATGCAAAGATTGGTGACAGCGCTTGGAACCATAAGGCAACAAAAAACTGTGAGAAATAATTTAGGCTCTGCCTGTGAATCACTCTTTGCTTCTCTTCTTCCTTCCATCCCATCATTTCATATGTCACTCTGCACTTGCTATGTGAGAACAAGGTACAACTTTCTATTGCAATAAACTATAATCTAATTATCCACACCTAACAACTCTTGCACTTAATCTATAATAAAATGATGACAGAAAAATGTTATAGCCCTGCCTTTAGTAGCCTCACACAGCTCCTGCTGTTTCCTCCTCATGTCCTTACCAGGCATTTCTGGACAATGTTATATCATGAGTAATATTTTTTTTTAAAAATCCATCTAAATAAAACACACACATGCACGCACACACAGTGACATTTTAGACCTTCTTCAGAATACTGTATATACTATGGGCATCATGGTGCTGATCCAGAATCCTTACATTATTATTTATTACTAGAGCTACAATAATAAAGCAATGAGGAGGGGGAAGTAATAAATATGAAATAATGTATTTATGATGATTCCATTTGTTTCACTATCCACTCTGTGCAGGGGCAAAGCTTATTACATTTTTAAACTGTAGAGATACAATAATTTTACTGCTGTAAAATCCAAATTTTGTCTTATTTAAAATATAAATCTAATATAATCTGCTTCTTAATGTATGTTCTTTAAAATACAGCTTGTGTTTTTTAATATATTATAATTATAATAATTATTATGTGGACATGCATATTAGATCGTTTTTTAGTGAAATATAATCCCTCCAGAAAGGCAGGAAAAGCTCGGAAACTTACTTTAAAACTAAATATGTTTCTAAATACTTTAAAACTAAATATGTTCCCTAAAACGGTGACAGAGCTACAGACCCATGACAGCCTTACACAGGTAGCCAGCAGCTATGACCAGCACTACTTGTGCAGTTAATAAAAGGACAGGTAATGTTTGTCGCGCTGCTGCACACACAGCACACTCGTTTGTTTCAGTTCGTCAGTTGCCACAAGACAACTTACCAACGTGTACGTAATAAGCTGATACTCCTGGGTGCTATACACTACAGTTTACGCTGTACACCTACTTACTGGTTTTGTCGCATCAGTCTGTGTCTCTGAGTTAACTTGTGTTTCTCCTACAGCTCCGGACCGCTAAAAATGCGCGTGCTCTTTGTGAGCTCGTTCCCGGCTCGTAACCAGCGCGTTCTGCCGTCAAGGGCGATCATTGGTTAAATGTGATCATGTGACTGATGCAAGCCAGATCCTTTTATTTAGCAAAACTGTGATTAATAGTTAAATATTATTGTTGAGGGGCACAGACAGGACTCCGCACGCACACACACATAAAAAAAAAGAATATTTTTTTTAAAAAAGTTGCCTCAACAAAAGGGCACTTTGGGCACCCATCAGGAAAGGGGCGGGTGCTCAAGCCCCTCTAGCCCCCCCCTCTGCACGTGCCTGCAACAGGTGATCCTGGTGATCGATATATGCATTTTTTTTCTTTTTCTGCTCATTCTGTTTGTTTTTGTTTTTTGCCCTTCTCCCCCGTCCCTCTTCTCAGCTGTTTTTCTTTCCCTCTTTCTTTCTCCCCTTCTTTCCCCCAGTCAAGTCTGTCCCGTATTCAGCAAGTGAAAATAAAATAAACAATAAAAGGTGAATCAAATGGACCATTACGGCAAGGCTGGGATGGTCAATTTGGTAAAGTAAATCCATTGGCCATCTTTCCTTGCCTTTAGACAATAATTCTGATGGCAAAAGAGCCAAACGGGACAGGCAAAAAACAAAACAAAAAAATAATAATAATCTAATGAGTGAAAATGAATCAAATTGAATGTTCCTTGTGTAAACCTTTCTCACAGAAGATGGTGCCCCAGTTAGAAATACTTAGCTGCTGATTTACAAACAAAACCAAGTATCCTTTTTTTTAGAATCTATAGAGCACCAAAGAAGAACACTGATTTCCTTCAAGATCAAAATGATATATTTGATATCAAACTTGATTCTGTCTATGATGATGACAGAGTGGTTAAACTGATTCAAATGACTCATTTCTCCAACTCACATCAACTGATTTCATTGTGAAACTCAGACTTGTGGAGCAGAACCCCAAACAATAAAAAGCAGATTTAAAAACACTTAAGCCATCGGTGTTCATTAAACTGACATCATGCAGTTCAACTTCTGACCAGCCGAGGGCGATAAATCACCATCAATGAAGAGTTCATCATCAACGACAGAAGCGTGATAGATGCTGAATGTCTTTAATATTTTTACACTGACTACATTCCAACATATATATCCAACTGTGATCCAACATATTGCAGACAATTATACTTTTTTATGCATTTATTAACAATTAAACTTGAAAGTCTGATTTCCAAAAATGTAACTTTGTTGATGTTTAATGGCACAGAAAGCCAAATGAAAATGTGCTAAGCTATATTTTTACGCTTGACTGGATCCCTTGTGCCTAAAGAGGAAAACATCATGCTAAGAATATTGCTCATAATAACATTTAAAGAATTAATAAAAATCAATTTTTTAAAAAAAGTTATCAATTCATTGTATACTAAATAGGTAACCAAACTCATGAATTACAGAGTTGACCTCTGCATGATAACCAATTCAACAGTACGCGCTACTCTACTAATATGTGTGGTACACTTGAACAGCCCATGATATTTAATAGACAGCGTGAGAGTCTGTCTCGTTGGAGCAGATTTCCTAAAAGGCTGGTATCTTTCGAATTCTTTTGCTTGCCGTAGTGAGCTGAGCTTGAGCTACACAACATACTGATATTCACTATGAAACTTTATGTGGGAAATGACAGAAAAACAACACATTGATTCTGGAACAAACGTATCATCCATTTTTAATGATGTAAAATATCATCTGGTTGATCAACAAGAATCAATCAGCATGAATCTGAAAACATGTTGAGCGGAAGAGACAGACATGTAAAGACTGAACTATCTGTTCAACAGTGTTGTTCTAACTAAACTTGGCATAGACTCACTGAGGAACCAGGAAAGACTGTAAACCCAGGATAAAGAGTTTCAGTGAATGTGGTTTTGAAGGTGTGGAGGTGGATCAGAGTATCAGAGGAGACTCTGTAGAAGGACAGAGTGCCAACAGGACAGTCCACATATACTGCTACTCTGTTAGAGACAGAGGAGGAGGAGATGAGTGTTTTAATCTTGTTGTGCCTGACAAACTGACAACCATCCTCAGAGCAGCTCAGACTCCATGACTGATAATTAAATCCAAAAACAGAGACAATCCCACCTCTTCTCCCCCTGATGCCTCTGTAACTCACTGATATCTCAACATTTCCTCTCCACTCGACTTCCCAGTAACAGCGACCAGTGAGACCATCTTTGCACAGCAGCTGAGGCCAACCATCAAATCTGTCTGGATGATCAGGATATGACTGAACCTCCTCGACATGTGTCACCTTCCTGTTGTTGTCAGACAGTTGGAGTTTTCTGTTTACGGTGTTCGTGTCGATTGTGAGTTGACAGGAATCTGATGGAGAGAACAAACACAATCCAGCTGCAGTTATTGATCCATCATCTGTTCATTGATTGACACTTTGATGATGACACCTGACATCCCAGATGTGAATAAGTGATGTGAAGATGGTTGAATGTGTGCTGCTTTGTTTTCATAAATCACATTAAAAACACACTTACACTTCTTCAGACCTGGTGTCAACCAACGGACTCCAGCAGGCTCCACCCTGAAAGGAACAGAGGGGTCAGACCAGAAGACTCTCTATCAGCATGCACACATGGACATTATATCGCTCTCATACACATACTGTTAGACACTGATAAAGGAACAGTCCAACATTTTCACCAATACACTTCAATCTATAGGGTCAAAGTGTACCCTTTGGCCTTTTCTACCTTTTCTGTTCCATTGTGGGATTGTCGTCACACAAGATTCTAAATATATATATATATATATATATATATATATATAGCAGCTGGATAGCATAGTAGGAAGACTGCATGCCTAGGCTAGACCCCCCCCATTGCTAAATCAAGCCTACTGCAGACATGAGAGATATGAAGTCATACCGGCTCGGGCATCGCCCGGATTAACAAGGTCTGCATCAGGTGTTGGGGAACCAGTACCCCCTGGTGAAGGTGGCTACTTGAACAAGACAGCATTGGTGGGCAACAGATGAAAACAGGGCACTGTTGGAATACTACTACACAAGTAACCCCAGCAGAGGGAGTTACATGAATACAGTGGTCCCAGTGGTAATCGGAGTGCTAGGTGCAGTGACTCCCAAGCTAGGCGAGTGGCTCCAGCAGATCCCAGGAATAAGATCTGAGATCTCTGTCCAGAAGAGCGGAGTCCTAGGAACAGCTAAGATACTGCACAGGACCCTGAAGCTCCCAGAGCTCTGGTAGAGGACCCAAACTTGAAGAATAGACTGCCCGCAGTGGCGAGAGGAGAATTGTTTATTATTATTATTATTATTATTATTATTATTATTATTATTATTATTATATAATTTAATGCACGGCTCCACCATTTTAATGAACAATGCATTTATAATAAGAACATTTCAAGTGGGAAGGATATTGTATGATCATCATGATCCTTTAGGTCTCCTGACTCATAAAATTTAGAGAAGTGCTGCATCAATTTTGAGGGAATAATCCAGACATGCCATTCACCAGCCACATGTATTAGTCAGGTGCAATGTGTGTCAGGCGGCAGCCAGGAACGGAGGCCCTGACAGACCAATCCCTGGCTACCAAGACTAGCAATTGGGTCATGGAATTTCACTTCTCTGTTTGGAAAAGAGCCTGAGTTAGTGCATGAGGTTGAGAGGTACTGGCTAAATATAGTTGGGCTCACCTCAAGGCATGGCTTGGGCTCTGGAATAAGTTTCCTAGAGAGGGGCTGGACTGGTCTGGAGATGCCCTTGGTGAGAGGCAGTGTGTTGGAGTGGGTATCTTAGTATCCCGTCAGCTTGTTGCCTGTATGTTGAGATTTCTCGCATTAGATGAAAGGGTTTGTGTCCTGCAACTTCGGGTGGGAGAACGGGTCCTGACTGTCATCTAAGTTTATGCACCCAATGACGGTTCAGAGTACCCAGCCTTCTTGGAGTCCCTTGGCGGGGTACTTGAGGGTGCTCCACCTGTTGCTCTTCTGGGAGACTTCGATGCGCATGTGGGCAATGACAGTGAGACCTGGAGTGGGAGGAACAGCCTCTTGGATCTGAACCAGTTTGTTGTTTTGTTGTTGTACTTCTATGGCCATATGTTCTGGGAATCCTGGCACTGTGGAATGTACAGGGTGGGCCATTTATATGGATACACCGTAATGAAATGGGAATGGTTGGTGACATTAAAATCCTGTTTGTGGCACATTAGTATATGTGAGGGGGCAAACTCCTCAAGATGGGTGGTGACCATGGTGGCCATTTAGAAGTCGGCCATCTTGGATACAACTTTTGTTTTTTCAATAGGAAGAGGGCTATGTGACACATCAAACTTAGTGTTAATGTCAAAGGAAAAACAATGGTGTGTTTGGTTTCAATGAAACTTTATTCTTTCGTGAGTTACTTACAAGTTTCTCTTTGTTCTAAGCCATTGACGTGTTAAAGAGGTTAACACGTGAGGAGCGGATCGAAATTGTGTTGATATCTGGTGAACGCAGTAACCGGGTCATTGCAGCAGATTTCAGTGCAAGACACCCTACGAGACCACCCATCTCCCATGCTACAGTTAGCAAACTGCTTGCTAAGTTTTGTGAAACTGGTTCAGTGTTGTATTTGCCAAAATGCGAACGCAAGAAAACTGTCACTAATGAAAAAACATCAGTGGCTGTCCTAGCTTCATTCAGCAAGAGCCCACAGCGTAGCACTCACTGCATGTCACTGGAGGGTGGCATTAGTCGAACATCCCTTTGGCGGATATTAGCTACTCACAAATGGCACCCTTACAAACTCCAGCTACTGCAGCATCTCAACAAGAATGACCCAGATCGGCCCACCGAATTTGCAGAATGGGCAAAACAAAATTTGGAACAGTTCACACAGAAAATTTTGTTCAGTGATGAGGCAAACTTTTATGTGAATGGTGAAGTTAACAAACAAAACCACCGCTATTACTCTGACACTAACCCACATTGGATGGATCCCTCCAAGACTGTTGGAACAACAAAAGTGATGGTTTGGTGTGGTATATGGGGTACAACGATAGTGGGTCCATTTTTCATCAATGGAAACCTCAAGGCCACTGGATATTTGAAATTGCTACATGATGATGATCTTTATGCACTGAAGGTGGCACATTCCCTGAGTTTTTCCAGCAAGATGGTGCACCACCACATTATGGGTGCCAGGTCCGAGGATTCCTAGATTAACAGTTTCCTGGAAAGTGGATTGGTCGTCGTGGGCCAGTTTTATCTTTGGGGTCATCCGAAGGCAATTGTCTATGGTGTGACGATACGAGATGTGCAGCACCTGAAACTATGGATACTGGATGCCTGTACTGCCATTTCTCCTGCGGTGTTGCTATCAGTGTTTGAAGAGTGGGAGAAGAGGGTTGCATTGACAATCCAACACAATGGGCAGCACATTGAACACATTTTATAAGTGGTCAGAAACTTGTAAATAACTCATGAAAGAATAAAGTTACGTTGAACCGAGCACACCATTGTTTTTCTTGTGATATTACCAATACGTTTGATGTGTCACATGGCCCTCTTCCTATTGAAAAAACAAAAGTAGTATCCAAGATGGCTGACTTCTGATTGGCCACCATGGCCACCACCCATCTTGAGGAGTTTGCCCACTCACATATACTAACGTGCCACAAACAGGATTTTAATATCACCAACCATTCCCATTTTATTAAGGTGTATCCATATAAATGGCCCAACCTGTATAGAAGCAGCAGGTATGCCACATGTAAAGCTGCCACTTTGTATTTTTGGTCAGCCATGCTAGGAGGTATGCTGTAAAAATGCGTTGTAGGGTTCAGAATGCATCATAAATGGTTTTTATTAAACAGTTAATTTTTTTAAAAAATCTCCTATAGGGAGACTATTAATAATAAATTAATTAATTTTAAAGAAGTTTAAAAATGAACTAAATGTCATGACTGGGCAGCCAAGCACAGGTAAGTGGACCAAAATGCAGACACCACACGGAGGCTCGGAGGTATAGTGCAAACGAACAATTTATTTGGCACTCAAAACTGGCACGCAATGAAAGAGGTGAATGAAACAAAACACTACACGTGAACTAAGGGCGAGAGGGAAAACACGTGACCTCTGAATATAAACTACCTACTAAACTAATGCAAAGCTTCATGTTAAGGTACTAAGAATCTATAACGAAATACACACTGTGACTGGCAAGAACTAGAAGACAAACTATTACTAGGGATGCTGTGAATTTAAACAAAGCTATGAAACACGAGGCTTGGCTAGAACAATCTCCACAATAATTGTCGAAACAAGAAAACAAGAATCACACCGCGTGTGCCGCAGCAAAGTCCAAAGGCAATAGTCTCTTTAGCTGGCTGGGGAAAAAACAGCCTGGGCACAATACTTGGGTATTTTCCGGAGCAGGCACACAAGGTACAGGATTACAGCGTTTCTCTCTGAGTCATTGTCTGGGTAGAAGGTGAGGCTTGGAGGGGTATAGAGGGCCGGGTGAGGCTAAACCAGTTCGTCTACTCTCACTGTGTTGGGCAGGGAGGCAGGCAGGTGAGTAGCGCCGAGAATAGAAAACAAGCCAGCGACGGGAAGAAGAGAGTTTGCTGACAACAAGATCCAATCCTCTGAGAAGGTGGGTTAGCTGACATTCCGGCAAAGAATGTTTGAGAACGCTGGTCTTAAGAGCCTGCCAGCTAATTACACACAGGTGCCATAAACTAGGGGTGTGGTGACTCTGCCCAGTGATGGATTTACTGGCACGCAGGAAAACCCAGCACTCACCTGGACGATGACACTAAATTTGTATAATCATCCATTAGCTATAGCAAGTCAGATTTTATGATACGAAGAATGATCTTTTTCTTCTTAAATCATTTCACCTGCCTCAAGACTTTGTGCTAATCTAGAATAATATATTAAAGGTCCTCTTCTATAGAGAGATTAATCTAATATTAGTTAGGGTCAGAGGGAGATACATACAGAGGTCTGTCTAAAAAAAGTTTTAAGCACTTCCTTCTTTATCAGATATTCTCACCATACCTGAGAGTGTCCAGATCTTTTTGTCCATCTGAAAGAATTCCCAAGTCACCTGGATGATTGTGGCTCACATCCACTTCTCTCAGAGTGGAGGAGTTGGAGCTGAGAGCTGAAACCAGAGAATTACCGCCTTCCCCTGTGATCAAACAACCTGACAGACTGCAGACAAACACACACACACACAAACACACACACATATATATATTTAGTAGTTTTCTTTTGTTTGTTTGTTTTTTTCCTGAAAGAATGCCATTCATCTATAGACTCTTTCAAGAAGAAGGCCCAGCAGTGGTTGTACTTCTGGCTAATCTAAAATCTCTTTAAATGGAAATTCTGTTGTTTCTATTTATTCTGTTTTCTAGTGTCAGGAAAAACCTGAAGATAAAGTTAGAAAATTCTAAATACTAGCCTAATAATTTCCAGTGTACAATGTGGACTCTGCAATCCAACAGACAATAGCTTTACTCCTGAATCCTGCAGGTTATTGTTACTCAAGTCAAGCTCTCTCAGGCGAGGGGCCTCTGAGCTGAGAAGTGAAGACAGAGCTTCACAGCTTTTCTCTGACAGGTTGCAGATGCTCAGTCTAGAAAAAAATGTACAAAAGCACACTGCTTTAAAAAGGCATACATGGTGCAGTGAAGTGATCAGCAAATTAGCAGTATTTATGCAATTTATGTAGAAGCAAGGCAGTTCACTATAACGAAAAGATAAAACAACACATGGACATATTGTCACAGAGTTATGTACTCTCCATGTTACCTATGCTAATGCTACTTATTACTTATTATGACCTCAAAGTTTCCAGTTTCCAGTGTGGACTCTCCACTTCAGCACACATAAGCGTTACTCCGGAGTCCCGCAGATTGTTATTACTCAGGTCCAGCTCTGTCAGACTAGAGGACTGTGAGCTGAGAACTTCAGACAGAGCTTCACAGCACCTCAGTGAGAGGTTACAGCCACTCAGACTAAAAAAAAAAAGATACATGCTGCATTTATAAAAGACAACATTAGGCAGTATTTACATGCTGTTCAAGAAGTTAAAGTTAAAGTTGTAGCAGACTATTGTGACTTAAGGTGAAATACTGAAACTACAAAGATGCAAAAACATGAAAATGACGCTGACTTAATTTTTTTTTCAGTTCTTATTGATTACATTTATCAGTTAAGGAAATGAGAATGTTGATTGATCTGACCTGAAAGTTTCCACTTTACACTGTGGGCATTTCATTCCAATAGAGAGAAGCTTTACACCTGAATCCTGCAAGTTGTTGTTACTCAGGTCTAGCTCTCTCAGACTAGAATGTACTGAGCTGAGAATTGAGGACACAGTTTCACAGCTTCTCTCTGTAAGGTTACAGCCGCTTAGTCTGTGGAAAAAATCATAATAAGGAATATATGAACAGAAAGTCAAAACTTTATTAATTTTACAGCAGATTATTGATTATTTCTGTAAACTTATAAACTGGAATCGCATCTGTAACCGGAAGGTCGCCGGTTTGATCTCTGGGCTCTCTGTCCTGGTCGTTGTGTCCCTGGGCAAGACACTTTACTCTACTTGCCTACTGGTGTTGGCCAGAGGGGCCGATGGCGCGATATGGCAGCCTCGCTTCTGTCAGTCTGCCCCAGGGCAGCTGTGGCTACAACTGTAGCTTGCCTCCACCAGTGTATGAATGTGAGAGTGAATGAATAGTAGTATTGTGAAGCGCTTTGGGTGCCTTGAAAAGCGCTATATAAATCCAATCCATTACTATTATTATTATTAAATATCAAAATATTGTCTTTCTGACCTGAGAGTTACCACTTTACAATGTGGGGAAATCATTCCAACAGACAGCACCCTCATTCCTGAATCTTGCAGGCTGTTATAACTCACGTCCAACTCTCTCAGATTAGAGGACTGCGAGCTGAGAACTGAGGACAGAACTTCACAGCTTCCTTCTGATATGTTACAGACCCTTAGTCTGAAAAATTATGAAGATGAAAACAAGATGAAAAAAAAAGTAATATTGGTGTTCAAGTGTATTCATGTTGCAGTAAGATTTAACAGATTTAACAATATTTTACACTGGCATTCTTATTGATTTGTGTTAACAACACAAAAATGTGTTAGCACACTATGATTTAGATTGAAATACTACAAATGCAAAGCTAAAATGACACATAGATGAAATTAACTCAATTCATTATTTATGTCAGCTGGTGAATAAGAGACTATCACTTGATATGACCTGAAAGTTTCCAGTTTCCAGTACTGACTTTCAGCACACAGAATTTTCATTCCTGAATCTTGCAGGCTGTTATTACTCAAGTCAATCTCTCTCAGACTAGACAGCTGTGAACTGAGAAATGAGGACACAGCTTCACAGCTTCTTTCTGAGATGTTACATCCACTTAGTCTGAAAAAATTTAAACACAGGAAAAACTTACTGGTTATCTTTGTCAACTGATTAAAAAACACAGACACAAAAAATAAACAAACAAAAAAACAAAAAACGAGAATGTGACCTGAGAGTTTCCAGTTTCAAGTTTGGACTATTCACTCCAGCAGATAGAAGCTTTACTCCTGAATCCTGTAGGTCATTGTTACTCAGATCCAACTCTCTCAGATTGGAGGACTTTGAACTGAAAACTGAGGACAGAGCTTCACAGCTTCTCTCTGAGAGGTTACAGCCACTCAGTCTGGAAATAAAAAAAAACAAGTAAAAGCATAGTACGCACTAGCTGACAGTTCTTGCAAGCAAGAAACAAAACAAACAAACAAAAATACCCATGATAACCACTTTCCTGTTGGTGTAAAAACAAATCACATAGACCAAACAAAACCTTATATGGCAACCCTGGGCATTTGGTTACTTAGGAAGAGAGGAAAGTTGTGGGAGTGACAACAGTGAGTTTTGGGATGTGAGAGATCACGTTTAGCATATTTTGAGTGCATAGTTAGTTTGTAGTGTAGTTGGTAAGTGTTATAGTCATGTTCTTTCCTTTGTTTTGTTTGACAAAACAATAAGGGGACTACTGAATGTCACAGTTGCTGCCAAAAGCCGCAAAAGGCAGATTTAAATGCAAATGCTGTCTCCAGCTGGAAACACGAGGAGTGATATACCTCTTGTGTACATTCCCCCTCTGTCTTCTGCTAGACAGGAAATTTTTCTTCTACTGCCATTTTATGGGGGTTTTTGTGTGTTAATACAGTAAGTCAACAAAAGATATGTGAGGTTGTGCCGAAAATAAGAATACCAAATAAGTCAAGGTAAACAGTTTTTAAAGGAGAAATTCAAAAGTAGTGAAAGATGGGCAATTCTACCATCTATTTCAGAGGGCTGATTACATATTTACTTACAAAGCTTTTTTGGAGGTTTTGACCACTGGCAGCAGTCTCAAAAGAGCCTCTTCTGAAGCAGAATATTTCTTTAGGTCAAACACATCCACATCTTCTTCTGATGACAGTAAGATGAAGACCAGAGCTGACCACTGAGCAGGAGAAAGTTTATCTGTAGAGAGACTTCCTGAACTCAGGGACTGTTGGATCTCCTCCACTAGAGAACAATCATTCAGTTCATTCAGACAGTGGAACAGATTGATGCTTTTCTCAGCAGACAGATCCTTTCTAATTTTCTTCTTGATATACTGTACTGTTTCCTGATTGGTCTGTGAGCTACTTCGTTTCTGTGTCCACAGGCCTTGTAGCAGACGCTGATTAGTCTGCAGTGAAAGACCCAAGAGGAAACGGAGGAACAAGTCCAGGTGTCCATTTGGACTCTGTAAGGCCTTGTTCACAGCACTCTGGTGGAGATATTTTAAATTCTTTTTCCCTAGTGACAATCTAGACCATTTTGAGGTTGCTTTTTGTTCTTCCAGCAGGTTGACACAAGAGCTGATAAAGGTTAGATGGACATGAAGAGCAGCCAGAAACTCCTGAATGCTCAGATGGACAAAGCAGAACACCTTGTCCTGGTACAGTCCTCTTTCCTCTTTAAAGATCTGTGTGAACACTCCTGAGCACACTGAGGCTGCTCTGATATCAGTGTCACATTCTGCCAGGTCTGACTCATAGAAGATCAGGTCACTTTTCTGTAGCTGCTCAAAAGCCAGTTTTCCCAGTAACTCAACCATCGTCCTGCTCTCTGGACTCCAGTGTGGATCCATCTCAGCTCCTCCATCATATTTGACATTCTTCACTTTTGCTTGGACCACCAGGAAGTGGATGTACATCTCAGTCAGGGTCACAGGAATCTGTCCTCCCTCCCTGGTTTTCAGCATGTCCTCCAGAACTGTAGCAGTGATCCAGCAGAACACTGGGATGTGGCACATGATGTAGAGACTTCGTGATGTCTTGATGTGGGAAATGATCCTGCTGGTCTGCTCCTCATCAGTGAATCTCTTCCTGAAGTACTCCTCCTTCTGTGTGTCAGTGAACCCTCGGACCTCTGTCACCCTTTCAACACAATTAGAAGGGATCTGATAGGCTGCTGCAGGTCTTGTGGTTATCCAGACATGAGCAGAGGGAAGCAGGATCCCTCTGATGAGGTTTGTCAGGAGCACATCCACTGAGGTGGACTGTGTGACATCAGTCACAGTCTCAGTTTTTTGAAAGTTCAGAGGAAGTCGACACTCATCCAGCCCATCAAAGATGAACACAACCTGGAAGTCATCAAAGATTCCTGCTTCTTTGGTTTCAGTAAAGAAGTGATGAACAAGTTCCACCAAGCTGAACTTTTTCTTTTTCAGCAAATTCAGCTCTCTGAATGTGAAAGGAAACATGAAGTGGATATCTTGGTTGACTTTGTCTTCAGCCCAGTCTAGAGTGAATTTCTGTGTTAAAACAGTTTTTCCAATGCCAGACACTCCCATTGTCAGCACTGTTCTGATTGGTTTATCTCTTCCAGGTGATGCTTTAAATATGTTTTCTTGTCTGATTGTTGTTTCTGGTCTGTCTGGTTTCCTGGATGCCGTTTCAATCTGTCTGACCTCATGTTCATCATTGACTTCTGCAGTCCCCCCCTCTATGATGTAGAGCTCTGTGTAGATCTGACTCAGAAGGGTTGGGTTTCCTGCTTTAGCGATCCCCTCAAATACAGACTGGAATTTCTCCTTTAGCCTAGCCTTCAGTTTGGGCTGACATTTTTGAAGAACTTCTAAATGAATAAACAGCAGATAACAACACTGTCTGTTATGGAGCACTTTACATAAATAATTCAACAATTCAAAACAACACAAAACCCCCCAGACTATGACACTATAAGTTTCTGGACACATTGTCAGTTGGATTGCTGACTGTGAGTGCTCCTGGTTTCATCTTGTTTCTGAATTATTACTGGCCAGTTATTTGCAGATGAGTAGCTGAAACATTCTGAGATTTAGAAATAGTTTGTATCCTCAGCCTAATTTTTGCCTCAGTAGTTTCATAACAAAATTCAGTGAATCACTTTTTCCTTTTTTTCCTGTTTGTTTGTTTGTTTTGGTAAGGGGCTTAACACTTTTGTAAGCAATATCATTTGGTTATAACAAATATCCCACAAAAATGACATAAGGAGTTTCCTCCTCTCCTCAGAAAACCATGAAACTGATCAACTTGTGTTGCAGAGGAATATCTTTCCAAAACCCTGGCCTTAACACAATTGAAAATCTGTTATGGTCAGGCCAGTATCAGGAAACCAAATAATTTATTTAAACTTTACCTAGCCAAAAGCGTGTTGATACCAACCACAAGTGTCTGGTTAAGGTACAACATGCTTATGGATATTTAACCAAATATCAGTGGGAATTATTGGATATTTTGATCCTGTATGTATACTTTCAGCTTGTGTGGATCAGAGGCAATCCAAATTAAATTCAAACTTGTCCACTCAATTCTTGTTTTATAAATTAATTAAATTGTATAGTATGCAATTATTCCACCCTGGAAAAGAACACCTCAAATAACTCATTTGAAAGCTCAACATTTCCATGCTATCCATTACCAATGATCAGCGCACGTAAAGTTTTGACCACAACTGTAGTTTGTCTATGTTTAATTATCATGTTGATGTAATTTTTTATGCCATCATCCAAGGAAATTCAGAAACAAATAAGAAACAAAGTACTTAAGATCTCTCATTCTAGAAATGGTTATAAAATCATTTCTACAGCTGTAGGACCCCAGCAAATGACAGTGACAGCTATTATCCACAAATGGCCGGCTGACCAAAATAACCCAAAGAGCGCAGCAATAACTCATCCAACAGGTCACACAATATCCAAAGAATGCAAGCCTCTCTTAACATTAAAAAATGGCCTGCATGGCAAGATGAAAAAACTTTGTTTTTTCTCATTTTTTCCAGAAGACTTTTTGGGTAAATACTCTGGGGGACTGACAAGACAAAAGTTTAATTTTTGGAAGGAATGTCATCAAAATCTGGTATAAAAGTAACACAGAATATCAGAAAAGGAACATCATACCAACAGTAAAATATGGTGGTGATAGTGTGACTCTCTGGAGCAGTTTTGCTGGCTCAGGAACTGGAAGGTTTGCTGTCATAAATGGAACCATGAATGATTTTCATCTGTTCTTGACCTCAAGTTGATGCACACTTGGGTTCTGCAGCAGGACAATGGTCCAAAACATACCACCAAGTCTACCTCTGAATGGCTTAAGAAAAACAAAATGAAGACTTTGAAGTGGCCTAGTTGAAGTCCTGACCTTCAACCAACGATCTGAAACTTGGACCCATCAGATCAAAAGCACAGATTTAGAGTTGTGTCTGCTACTGAAACTCTGTGTGGGATCTATTTCTGAGGCTGGTGACTCAGATGAATTTATCCTCAGCAGCACAGGTGACTCTTGGTCTCCCTTTCCTGGAGCGGTCCTCATTTGAGCCAGTCTTGTCGTAGCCCTTGACAGTTTTTGCGACTGTACTCAGGACACATTCAATGTTATATCAATTCTCTGAACTGACTGACCTTCACTTCTTAATGTAATGATGGACTGTCATTTCTCTTCACTTAGCTGATTGGTTCTTGCCAAAGTATGAATTCTAACAGTTGTCAAAAAAGGCTGTCAGCTGTGTACCAACCTGACCTCTGCAACACCACAATTGACAGTCCCAACCCCATTAAGAAGGCAAGAAATACTGACTACATCATAAAACTGAGGCCAAGAGTTTGTAGCGCTGTCAACAAAGCAAGGGGTGGCTACTTTGAGGAATCTAAAACATAAGACATAGAATTCTTTATCATTTTTTTCTTTTCTATATAATTCCAGATATCTTGTTTCATGTATTTGATGTCTTCAGTATGTATGTACAATGTAGAAAATAGTAAAAAAAAAAAAAAAGACAAACATTGAACGAGAAGGTGTATCTAACCTTTGATGATGTTTTGGAGTTGTAGGCGCAGCTTAACTATAGCTGATGTTGACCTTCTAAATTAATGCACACTGAGGCTACAACGTCCCCTCGCTTACCACTGATCCCTTACACAAACCACTGAATGCTTACCTTGTGATGAAAGTGATAAATATGCCTGGGCTGAGGAATTTCCTGTTGGAGGATAGTATACATTGAGAGGAAATCTATACTTTAAGACAATATAAACAGGTTATTTTTCCTCAAACATAATTTGCAGAGGAAAGATATAAAGTCACACTAACAGTGTGAACTAAGGAGTTTTCACATCTCTTTTTAAACTTACCTTTATTCATGTTCTTTAAAGTTGTCCTTGCTACTTCAATGACATGGTCAGTAGTATATGTCTGCACCATCAAATCTATAGTTTCCAGTCTGTTTGCTTTCTCCAGATGGCACTTTTTGATGGATGGAAAATCACCTTTTGTTGCATTCTGAAGGTACCAGTGGAAATGCTTTAGCTCCACCTCTCCCAGATTCTCCAGAATGTGCAGTAGCTGCTCCTTAACAGGTATTTCCATCTTTGAGATATAAGAATACAAAAAGAGAAATACACAGAATTGTTGATATTACAAAGCAGCTGCAAGTGTCTTTTGACTTAAATATGATGTATGGTCAGTTACATTAATCATAAATGGCCTGCATTTGTATAGTGCTTTACTAGTCCCTAAGGACTCCAAAGCGCTTTACACATTCAGTCATCCACCCATTCACACACACATTCACACACTGGTGATGGCAAGCTACATTGTAGCCACAGCCGCCCTGGGGCGCACTGACAGAGGCGAGGCTGCCGGACATTGGCGCCACCGGGCCCTCTGACCACCACCAGTAGGCACCGGGGGAAGTGTCTTGCCCAAGGACACAACGTGTCTTGCCCAAGGACACAACGACAGTTCGTCTTGTAACCTTCCAATTACAAGACGAACTTCTAACTCTTGAGCCACAATCGCCCCCAATAAGACCAATCTTGAAAAACCTGTTGAATTTAACGTAGCCATTAGAGAACTTTCATTTAATATATCCATTCTTGAGTTAAGTACACCATCTTTTTCAGATGAAAATCAAATATGTGGAAAAAAAAAATTACCAAGTAATAAACTAGAAATGCAAGTGATAGCATGAATTTTAGGAAAGGAACAGTTGGTCTTCTAAACGATTTGTATAAAAAAATGTTAAAGGAAATTGTTAGCTGTTAACTGACAGAGACATTGCAAGAAGTATTTTGCAATTATTACTCAAATAACTTGTAAATTCAGTGAAACCTTACAACATGTGTGGAGCAGTGTGCAGGGACGGTACCTTGCTTAGAGTTACCGCAGGGTAGCCGTTCAGTGGATTCGAACCCCCGAACTTCCAATCATGGGGCGACCACTCTACCTACTGAGCTATCCCAGCACCTAAAGAAGGGTTACCCTGTGTCACCACTGCTGATTACACGGCAATCAAAGCTGGACAACAGCTGTACAGTCACATGGATAAATCTGTGAAGTGAGACAAGAGTGGGACAGGCTAAGCATAAGATATTTATGTACACAGTTCCAAAAATCATTCTAGTTCTGTTACATCAGTGGTCCCCAACCATGGACCGGTACCGGTCCATGAGTCGTTTGGTACCGGACCACAAGGGTGTGAAATTCATGGTTTTCATGGTTTTTCTCATTTTTTCTCGTTATTTTTTTGATTGTTTTTATCGTTAACTCGGTCTCCCTGGGTCTGGGTGTGTTATGATTAAATCTTTTTTTTTTGGTATCGGTACTGCTTTTATTTTGTTGTATTCATCTGCGACACCTTAATTAAGTTAGTTAATACTTTTTTTTCTAGATAGATTTCAATATACACTGTCAAACCAAAAAAATATCTCTCAAGTTGCATTAAGTGGGCAAATATTAGGTAGATTATTAATATACTGAGCATCATTTTAATTTAAGATTTTAAACTGGAGGTATTCCAAACCTATTGTTAATAAATCATAACTATAATAATGTAATTACTAGAATGCCTATGTAGTTTCAAATCTATAGAATGAGATATTTGTTATGGATTAGTCAAAAAGCTGGCTGCAGAATGACTGGCCTTTGCAGTAATAAGGATAACCTATAAGTTAACAAATATATAATAATAGATTCACTTATCCTGCATTAAGTGAGCAGTGAAGCTGGGGAACTATGGTGCAGTTTTAGCTCATTTCCTATTTGTTATCTATTTGCTATGTCACAAGTAAAAAAAAAAATCTGTCTTGCAAATTTTGTCATTTATACTAAAGTGGCATTAGGAAATATAACACTTTTGAAAACTGAATTGAATTTATTTGTTATACTAAAAAATAAAGGCTAAGTGGATAGCATTTTCGATTACATCTCAGTAATAATAATCAGTAATATGAGCTATGTTCCCTCCTGGGGGACGTAGTTACCTTACTGGTAACACTTAAGGGCATGTTAGAAAGAGGTCACTTACCTTTTCTCTTAAGACGTGTCATGGCGAAAATAATATCAAGATATGAAAGGATGAAGAGACTCTGTATTTTCAGGAGCTCAGAAGAAACTCAAGTTATCTCTGTGACCACTTGTTTTATACCCTACTCCTCAATAGTCTGTGTGACATCAGAGCACATAGCAACAGCTTAGCAACCACCTTTCCTGTTTTCACCACATATATGGGACAAACACTGAACCACTAATAGACATGTGACTGTGACAACAGGAAGTACACTAGTTTGATGAAACTGTTTCTTCTCCTAAATTAAGCAGATATATAGAGAGAAATGTTCTCACTGTTATTTGGTCTACTTATTTAGATGTGAATGATCTGATTCTAACCAAGAAAGCATCCTGTCTTTCTCCACAAGATGTTCAAGTTCAAGTTCAAGTTCAAGGTTCAAGTTCAAGGTTCTTTATTTGTCACATGCATAGTTATAGAAGTATAACACACAGTGAAATGTAGCCTGACACGCTCCTCGACATGTGCAAAAAAATTGGGGGGGGGGGGGGGGTGTAGAGGAAGAACATTATATATATATATATATGTAGTATATACACTGGGTGAATGTGCAGTAGTAGCAGCAAGCAGGTGAATTCTGTACATTAATATGAATAGACATCTGACTATTTTACAGGATAGACAATATAAACATATTTAAAATTAAAGGAATTGAAATGTACATTGTGCCTTGGTTTAGTGTCTGGAAGAGTCCTGACTCAATCAATTATAGATGATGTGAGAGGGCGGGTGTGTGTGTTTAGGGCACGGATGGCTTGGGGATAGAAGCTCCTCTTGAGTCTCTCTGTCCTTGCCCGGATGATGCAGAACCTTCTACCAGATTGCAGAAGTTGGAACAGTTTGTTGCCAGGATGGGATGGGTCCTTCAGTATCTGCGCTGCTCTAGTCCGGCATCTCCTGGTGTAGGTGTCCTGAAGCGGGGGGAGAGCAATCCTGCAGCAGCGTTCTGCTGTACGGATCACTCTCTGGAGAGCTTTTGGTCCTTCACACAGCTGTTCCCAAACCACGATGTCATGTTCTGTGTGAGGATGCTCTCCACAGCGCCTGTATAGAAAATCCTGAGGATCTTTGGAGAGACCCTGAACTTCCTCAGTTGTCGTAGGTGATACAGGCGCTGCCTAGCCTTTTTGGTCTGGACCTGAATGTGGGCAGCCCATGTCAGGTCTGAGGAGATGTGGACACCAAGATACTTGAAGGACTGCACCCTCTCCACTGGAGCTCCATTGATGATAATGGGCTTGTAGTCTCTGTGCTGACCCCTTCTGAAGTCCACCACCAGCTCCTTGGTCTTGCTGACGTTCAGCTGGAGGTGGTTGTCTTGGCACCACGATGCCAGATTCTTCACTTCATCCATGTAGGCCATCTCATCGTTGTTGGAGATGGCACCCAACACCACTGTGTCGTCAGCAAACTTCACAATGGTGTTGGAGCCATGGGTGGCCACACAGTCTGAAGTGTAGAGGGAGTAGAGCAGTGGCGAGAGGACACATCCCTGAGGTGCTCCTGTGTTGATGGTGATGCTGTTGGAGAAGCACCTGCCCACCCTCACCACCTGAGTTCTGCCAGTGAGGAAGTCCAGCACCCATGCACACAGACGGCTGTTAAGTCCCAGATCCCTCAGCTTTGTGAACAGTCTGCAGGGCACTATTGTGTTAAAAGCTGAACTGTAATCAACAAACAGCATTCGCACATAGTTACCCTGTTTCTTGTCCACGTGGCTGAGAGTGGTGTGTAGGACGTGGGCGATGGCATCCTCTGTGGATCTGTTGGATCTGTAGGCGAACTGCAGCGGATCTGTGGTGTCTGGGATGGAGGAGGAGATGATGTTCTTCAGCAGCCTCTCAAACACCTTCATTACTACCGAGGTCAGTGCAACTGGCCGGTAATCATTCAGGGATGAGGGTTTGCTGTTCTTGGGCACAGGGATGATGGTGGATCTTTTGAAGCATGTGGGGACCACAGACTTCGCCAGGGACTCGTTGAAGATGTAAGTGAACACACCTGCTAGCTGGTCAGCACAGCAGCGCAGCAGACGCCCGGTGATGCCGTCTGGCCCCGCCGCTTTCCTTGTGTTCACTCTCCTCAGTGCCGCTCGGACGTCATGCTCTGCGATGCTGGTCACCGGTCTCTCGCTGATGACGTCACTGTCCTCGGTAGTCAGGCAGTAGATAGCATTAGCCGCCTGGCTAACCTCGAGACGGGCGTAGAACTGATTCAGCTCGTTGGTGAATGCAGAGTCAGCGTTGATCAGCGCAGTGTCCCTGGCTTTGTAGTCCGTAATGGTGCGTAGTCCGTGCCACATACTCCGTGTGTCGCCCTGGTGGAAGTGGGACTCCACACGTTCCCGGTACAGGCGTTTGGCATCTCTCACTGCGCGCCGCACGCCGTATGAGGCCGCTTTGTAGGCGCTCATATCGCCAGTGGCGAGACCCGCGTTGTAGGAGGCGGTCCTGGCGTTTACTGCAGTGCGGATCGATCTGTCCATCCACGGTTTCTGGTTTGGGAATGTGGTGACTCTCGCAGTGGGGATAATCTCCTCCGCAGTGGGGATAATCTCTTCCGCTAGCATATTGACGAAGCATACTGCTATGTCACAACATGTCACAACACGAACAATAAAGAAAAAGTCAATAATCACTGACACTTATTATTCCCAAATATACTTGAAAATTCAAAAAGTACCAAGTGAATAAGAGTTATGATCACACACTCAAATAAGAATTATAGATGACTAAGAAGTCTTTTTTAAATATATAAGTTAAAAAATATTGTTTAAACTCTTAACACTGTTTAACAGGAAATGTGGTCAGTGATACGAAGACCATGTCACATGTGCATATCTGTTTATGGTTGGTGAAATGAGTGTATTAATGGGACCTTGAAAAAACATGGCATGGGAACATGGCAGAAAAAGCTGTTTCTCAGACTGTTTCTGTGAGTTTTGATGATGATCCACCTCCTAAGAACCGAACTCTGCCATGGCATGCATTTTTAATTTCTCTTTGTTATTTAGGCTGATTGGGACCCAATGAATGTAAAAACAAAGAATTACCGGGGGTTTTTTTAACCTGATTTTTGTTTCTAAGAAAAATGAGAGCCACTTACGAGGATATTCGTTTAAAATTCTGATAGAACAGTGGCAGTATAATGTCCTCGTAAGTGGATATCAGGCCCTTGTAGAGCAAAATTTTGTATTTTGGTCTAAATAACCCAAAATGTGATGTCCACATATATGGACGCAAGGTCCTAGGAGGTTAAAATTATTGCTGACCTAGTAATCCACTGAGTCACATTTAACATGCATTGCATGTTGTTCCTCTCACAGCTGTGCAGCAGGTGTACCAAAGGGTAGCACAGGCGGTGAGGTTGCTCTCAATTTCTTAACAGACTATGTGATCTTGATTCTTGTTCAGCTTTTTTCCATGTGGCGGGGTGTGGTTGGTTTCACAGCTGCAGCAAGGCAGACACACCTGAGTGATCACACCACACCTGCAGCCTGTGACTTCAAGATGTTAACAGCTGCCTTACGATTTAAGTTAATGTTGTTGATACTCTGAAGTTGGTGTCAAAATAATCCACCAAGAGTACCTTTCTCTATCTGTCTCTCTGTCTCTCCCTCTCTCTCAGGAATTTGATCAACTCTATGTTATTCATAACCTGAAATTCAAACTCACATCTGACCTTTGTCATTGCTTAAGCATTGCTTTGCCTGTGTTGCTCTTTTTTAGCTCCAATATTTTTCTGCTCATTAATCCTGGCCCTGTTAACATCTGATACTATATCCATTCATTTTGTGTTTTGCTTAATGCAGAGGAGCAGAAATTGGGTT